CCTTTTCAGCCCAGCGTTCCTGAGCAATTTTAACTCTTCTGTCTGAGCTCCTGAGTTAAAATTCGCAAGTGATATGTAATGTTTCACGGTAGATATAAAATTACTTACAAAATATATAAGCATTATACTTAGCAGGGAGAGAGTTTGATTGCATGCCTTCACTTTATCACCAGAATTCTTTCTTTGTGTTCCATTCTACCCAGCAGGTGCTGCTTCTCTTGATGTACAAGAATAGCAAAACATGACGCAAACATTTACCCACCGTTCAACCGGTGGCTGAGCATTAAGATATTTTTTCTAGCACCGGTAAATCGGTGGTCAGGTCTCAAAGGGTAGCCTCCTTTTTTGAGCCTGACAATATTTCTGCATATCTTACGGATTATTTACCAAATTTGTTTAGTATGCCATAAGGTCATATGTCGATTTCAGGGTCTGTTGTAGCTTGGCGGTCACCCATCGAAGAATTGATTCGATTCGATACTGTTTAAATTTAGTTATAATCGTAGTGATGGAATTTTATTATTCAAGCAAATAGTGTTGGTCTCTTAAAATATATAACTTAATTTTCACTGAAACATTTTTCAAGAAATTAAACCTCAAGTCCGCTAACAGTAATTGCTTTTTCTTGTAGTTAAGATTCAAAGAGAAGCTAAAGAGCAACTTGTCAGCTGTCAATATACGACATAACACTCTTGAGCGCTTAGCCTTGGAGCGGGCAGAATGGAGATCAATGTGTTTCAGTGGACCCAGCAGTTTTCAATCTGCTTGTCTGAATCATTTTCAAGAAGCGAGAGCAAGATCTAAAAGGTTAGCCGAACTAACAGTGATCTCATATCACAATCCTCACTCTTGCTTCATATGCAGCCTCCTTTGTACATCACTAGCGGGTCTTAAGTGCCACTTAATATTATCGCACAAAATTTCATAACTGAATCAATCGGTAAAGTTGTCAGATCCTCATACGTCGAAACCGACGGGAGAGTTCGTTATTATTATTATTATTATTATTATTATTATTTAGGCAGCAAATGTCTGATTAAATAAATTAGAGACACTATGTTTGCTTATTTTAAATAAAATCCGTTCGTAATCACGGATAACCTTCTGTGTATTGCAATTAAATATTGTGAGAAATAGGCTATAACTATGAAAATCGTTTTTATTTTCCATTTCCCAAGTACTTTCCATCTTCTTCCAAGATCGTCTTCAGTGGTGTACACAGTAATACAAAACTGTGTGCTGTTCATGTGTGCAAGTAGTAATACAAAACTGTTTTTTTTTATATCCATTACTGTAATGTCTCTTTTTACTTTCAAACGCAATAGTTGACAGTCATGCTTAGCGTTCATTAGAACGTGAAAACATTATCCACGATGGAATCTTTTATTCTGTGTTGTAATGTCATGAACATGCGTGCATTAAAGCATGTAAAACGGTTCTTTTTACAGACATTTCAGGGCATTACTACAGTTATTATAGTTGATTCTATTAAGTGATGGCTTTAATTTTTTAATATATATTGCTTCGAGGATCTGTAGTTTGAATTTGTTGTTTTCTTGGTGTAGGATAGTTGTGTTGTCGATTAGTAATTTTTATATTGTGAATGTGGACAGGAATGTTGGTGTAGATGTCTCGCAATGGGTGAATGGTCAGGTAAGAAATATAAACATAGAAACTAGACCAATTTGGCATAAGTCAGAGACACATATATATATATAAGTGATCATTGAAGTAAAAACTCAGAGGCGACAGGTGGCCTGATGATTGCGTCTAGCATGAAACAGCCTGTCGCCTCTGAGTGTTGACTTCAATGTTCACTTTTTTATATTTATATTTACATACTCACGCTCTCACCCTCTCTCGCTCTCTCTCTCTCTCTGTCTCTCTCTCTCTCTCTCTCTGATATAGCACTCATAAAAATTGCACACCTTAAAACTATATTTTTTCATACATACATATATATATATATATATATATATTAAACACACTTCAATATACGGTCCTCTTCAGGTGAGCGTTTAAATGACGTCATCTTGTGTGACTTGAAATTGGTTCCGTCAAACGTGAGAAAGTTGGAATTAAAAAAAACAGTTGCGTAAATATAAACAGAACAATCCCTGAAGAACGAATGTAGCAACATTAGAAAGTACTCGTAAAGAAAAATATAGTTTAAAGAAATGCTATATAGTGAAATGATGACTCGATTAAAGCAGCCATCTTCGAGCAGCTTGGGATACCCGTGGTGATGCATCAGCCCATGTAGAGATTTTCCAAGCGTAGTTTTAATTTGGTACAAGGCCGAAAGTATGGGGCATCCAATGAGGATCGAACTCACTTTTCAGTAGTAACTGATCTAGTAAGATAAGCTTGCTAACCATTACACCACGCCGAGGTGCCCAATGCATGTAAGCGCATAGTAACTAAGAGTTTTCCCATGGGGAGAAAGCGTTTATATTTTTCATCGTTCAGTTAGGCTGATAGTCAAGTTCGAAGCAACTGAAGCTGATGGGATGAGCGAACATCTTTTCTTTGCATAATTTCGCATAATTTATTTATTCAGCTATTTATTTCTGGGCTATACAATTTGCCTTCATTCAAAATAGACAGTGATGGTAACTTTTTGAAGTTTTTCCTTTCAAATGTTTTACGTTGCCAGATTCTTTTAATCTTTTCGCTGCCAGTTTCTTTTATATATATATATATTCTCTTCTTTTCTTTTATTTATCACGATATTCCATTTAATAAAATAGTTGTGCTTTTAAAAAGCAAAAATATAATCATAACAATAATAATCAAAGCGTGTAAAACGCATTCCAAGTCTCATTCTTTATTCATCACGAGAATCACGCATGCGCAAATAACGGTTATTTCGGTCTTCGCTGAAGCGGAAAAATACTGGCTGTTAATGACGAACGGAGTTAAAAATATGAATTTTACTTAACTTTATTCTAGTGCTTTCAAGCGAAGGTCGAAGCGTCGCCTTTTCTTTCAGTTTAAGCACTTCTCATTACTGATTTTATGCAAATTAAAATGCTCTATTCAACATCTTCATAACTAGTTAAATACGATATCTGTCAGCATTAATGACCTTCCCGATGGCATCATCTCTCAACTTGGTATATACGCTAATGACACAACCATTTATTCGATAGTAAGGCTGATCAGTTTCAAACGTTCTAATTGGAGCCGATGTACAAAACAACCGCTGGTAATTGGGGCAAAAGATAGCTTGTTAATTTTAACGCTTCCAAAATTAAACTGCTCTCAATTAATCACCTGAGACAGCCCTCTCTGCCTTCCATCAACATGGCCGATGCTAACATCCAGGAAAGTGACTCTTTGCGCTTTCTCTGACTAATGTTCTCAGCTGACATGAAGTGGAAAAACTATATCGAATCGATTGATAGGTCAGATGCTAAGAAAGTCGGTTCATTGGGGACAGTTGTTCTCTCCGGAATCTTAAGTATCTATAAATCTACCATTCGGCAATGATTAGAATATTGCTGCCACATATGGTTCAGAGATCATAAGCTCCTTGATAAAATCCAAACTAGAATCAGGAATATTACTGGTCCTGACATGACGGCTCGGCTTCATTCACTTTCTCAACGCCGTAAGGGTGTACTTTCTATGAAACAGGCTCTTTCAACGCCGTGCAGACCTGTACTTTCTCATGAATACTATGGGAGATGAATGTTAAACTTTTCTGACGGTCGTCCTCGAGTATAGAATCCAGAGGTTGGCAGTTTTTCGGAGACAGTAGGAAAGCAGTACTTCTGCAGTGGATATCACAGCAGAGTGTAATTCATCCTTCTCCTGGTCGCCTTTGGTCCTCAATAGACTGTTGATGGCTGGACGAATACAGTGCTGTGCGGAGATTGGTTATTAAAGGGAAATAAGTCATTCTGACTCGTTCACTTTTACCAAAAACCGTAACCATTTATTATACAACATTAACATATACAGAATGTCACATAAATACGAGACACATTTCTTCAGAATCTATCTTACATATCTATAAGTCTACCATTCGTCCATGCTTTGAACATTACTGTCACATAGGCTCGGGTGTACTTACTATTTACCTTTGATAAATTCCAAATAAGAATCAGCAATATTATAGGTCCTGATCTGGCGGCTCGGCTTCAGTCACTTTCTCAACGCCGTAACGTTATACTTTCTATAAATATTCTCATGGTAATTGTTTGGAGGAGTTCTTTGCTATGGTAGCTTGATTTTATGAATTTAAGCGCAGTACTAGACTGACGTCGAGATCTAAATTTACAGCTGCGCTGGTTCGATGTATTCGTAAATTCTATGTTAACAGTTTTTTTTCGCTTGTGGAACTATCTTCCGTCTGCAAGCTTTCTTTAATCTCCAAAATTCTAAATGTAATGTCAATCGCTATGTACCGTCTTACTGATTACCATTTTATCTTCCCGTTCATTAGTAACGTTTCTGTTTTTAAATCTTCCCCACCCAGTTACCCTTGTATCGTAGTGACGTTACCGTCTTGCATGGGGTGAAATGGATTAAAAAAGATATTAGGTTGGTGCAAAAATAATGACGTAATGATGTCGTTTTTTGACGTTAAAAAATACGTCCAAAAACGACATTATTACGTCATTATTTTTGTACCAACCTAATATAATACACCATTTTTTTCCCATTGAAATTTGACGATGACTATATAGTTTAATTACTAATGGAACACCAGCAATTTCTGAATATCCCTGATTGATATGGGACTGGTGGCATCTGTTAGAGTCCCATCTATGGGTAAATAATGAGCCTCCCAAACGAAAATATTATGTAAGTAGAAAATATATTTTAATAATAAAAATAACAGCAATGCATTTTTATATAATCGACCGACAATACAAAATCAACAATACGTTTTATCTATAGTTGAAGGCATACAATTGCGGTCAAAATATTTAGTTGAAGTCATAAAATGGTGTACAAAATATTTAGATTTTGGCATTAAATAAACCATAGCG